GTCACAAAACTGCACTCGACTTATACATGAGATCAATTTATACACGAGTATATACGGTAGGTCAAGTATCTGGCTTGCCAATAGAGATGGCAAGTTGGGCAAACCTGTGGCCAGACACTTCTTGGAAAACCATCACCACCTCTTGACACTTAAATGTGTTGCAATTGATCACATCCCAGTACCTTTAAGAGGGGGTGATAGGGCCAATTTGTTATTACAGCGGAAACATTTTGGATCCTTGAGTTGAACACAGTGTCCTCCAAAGGACTTAATGAAAAGTGTTCCTTTTTACCATTCCTCTAATGATTATACTTTTATTGCGTATTGATATTTATTTATCTTGAACTCTGAAATTATTGTATATATGGACATGTTTGTTTTATCCATAGTTGTAGGTTATGTGTATACTCTATTGATTTATTCAGATCTGCTAGTTTTCATTGTATTAATTGTGTGCTACCACCTGCACTAAATGGCTTATTCTAACTAATGCACTATCTTGCTATCTACCTCTTATTGGTAAATCCCATAGGGTTGGTTGTTATTTATTTCATGAAAAAAATATATTATTTACTAGGCACTTTGTGCACTTTATTGGATTCTAGCTTTCTAGATTATTAATTATGTGCACATTAATTAATGCACATTTAACTTTATGCACTTTCTTAGTACATCACACTTGATGCACTTTAAATTGCACATTTAACTTATGCACTTTATTAAATATTTGAGACATTTAGTTGTCTCCTTCTACACTGACTATGTCTTAAAATTGTTGGTTGCATAGTTACATAGTTAGAAAGCTGAAAAGAGACTTGCGTCCATCAAGTTCAGCCTACCTCACATATGTTTTTGCTGTTGATCCAAAAGAAGGCAAAAAAAACCACTCTGAAGCACTTTCAATTTTGCAACAAACTTGGAAAAAATTCCTTCTTGACCCCAAAATGGCAGTCAGATATCTCTTTGGATCAATCAGCTATTACCCCACTAATTAAAAATTCATTTTAAAAAGGAGCTTTGCTGTTATCATTGCACTGTTTAAAGATTCTAGCACCTTTGCACTATCACTTTAAAGCTTGGATTTTAATTCACATTACTTTCGATATAATTCCACAGCCTTATGCCAAATTATGTTAGGCTATAGTATTTGTTTATGATACATGTATTATTTTTGTGAATATATGTGTAATTGTTTGTGACATGATTTTTACTTATGGATCTTTTTTAATTTATGATTCCTTTCGCGAAAGTGTTTAAGTAAATTATAGCATGTTTACAACTTTAAAGCTTTTCTGCCTCTGGTAGATGATAGCTGTGTGAATCTGTCCAGTGGGGCCGGCGTGCTCTGGTAACTATGGAGACGCCATCTGATACACGTAATTGCGGAGCATCCTGAGTGTTTTGTGAAGTAGGAATCTCCCTATGTTGTCGGCAGGCGTAGGGGCAGCCAATTGCCGAGTAGCATCGGCGGTTGCTCTGGTAATGTAGCGACAACACATACACTCTTTATGGAGGCTTACTATACCTCTGATATGTGGGGAATCACCCAGGGGATTCTGATGTGGACACAAACTCCGGAGCAGTCAGCCCAACCCAACTGATGAATAGCTGGGGTGGTAATTAACTTATCTGTTTATTTAGTATAAAAAGCCATTCATTCCTATGTTCATTTTTTTTCTGTCCTGATGAAAGTTCCAAGCTAGGAACTGAAAAGTTTATCAAATAATAGAGGTCCAGACACTCCTTGGTTCAAGACAGGTACTTTATTAAGAACCACAACAGCAACGTTTCAACCCCAAAAGGTCTTTGTCAAAGCTTAAAGTACCTGTCTTGAACCAAGGAGTGCCTGGACCTCTATTATTTGATACATTTTTGGAAATCTGGTGTTTGATTCCGGTTCAGCAAGAACCCTGGCTCAGATTTATGGGAGTGAGTGCAGTTCCATACACACTACTAAAGGAACTGAAACATTGACTATCTGTGAAAATAAAATAGTTTACTTGCAAATCCAGGAGTGCCGGCAATTTTTTATTTCCTATATATAGTATTCACTACACCGATTGACCAATTTTCACACTATTTTGGTTTGTGAGAACTTGATTTATAGTGAATTATACATGTAAGGCCAGAGTAAATAAACTGAATGCATGAGTGACTTCAGTTCAGCTCTTTTAACTTTAACTTTGAGAATAAAATAACGGAAAAAGTTATACATTTATTGGCCAACAAAAAAGTGATTTTTTTTTTTGATATTTTTGATAGTTTGTCTGTTTGGTGACATAATTATACACAGTTTACAAATAAAAAAATAATTACATTCAAATACACAAATAATAGAAACAGTTTGTTTTGGATGAAAATTTATCAAAGTGTCTAAAATGATTTTGCATCACACAGTTTCGTTTTGGTCAGCGTTGGTTTTTCCAGATCTTCTGTATATTGAGGACAATTAAAATAAGTTACAGCTTTGCTGTTACATACATGATTCCCATGTGGCCTCTGTGTTATTTATGGATGGCTAAATATGTTAGCTTAACCTGAATACAGTTATGAATTATGTCTAATAGGCACCCATAAACCCCTGGCTTATATTAAACCCTAAATTCATACTTTCTACACACTGAAATTATCCAACCAACAGAACACAAGGGATATAGAGTTTAAGGATAATTCACCTGCACTTCAACAAACATAGTGTACAGAGCTCTGCAGAGATCTAGCTTATCTTTATTGACCTCAATACGCAAAAAAATCTTGAAATTCCTACACTGACCAAAAGGAAACTTCACATATCCATGTGAACATTGCAGGCACTTTAAACATCTTCCAATACAAACTGTTTAATTCAAATGTCATTCATGTATTTGTTTGTTTATTTATTCTTCATAAATTAGGTATACATATATCTGATTTTCACCCAATAAGAATGAATGATAAAATTACCTTAGTCCTGAAAGATTACAAAATATCCCTCTTTTGTAAGCAGAGCTGGTCTAAGGGGTGTACGAGCTATGTGGCCACACAGGGTGCCATGGCAGTAAGGTCACTATGCGGCCAACATAGCTCACACATTCCCTGAGTGACAGGTGTGAAGGACGTGCACAGACACCCCTAAAAAGCAGATCACACTATGTAGCATAGCTGCGCAGCAGGGTAATGACTATTTGCTTTTAAATAACTATTACCTTAATAAATTCCTATACAAACATTACACCCATATAAACACACACTATACATGTATGAAGGGGTATGACCAGGAAAGGGTGCTGTGAAGATTTCTCTGCACATGCCTTAGGCTGGTCATGTTCATTAGCCAATGCATGTATTACTTTTTTATTCTATTTTATTCTCATTGCATTATAAAACTGGCCAACACAGTACGAATAAAACAATTATTTGTATAAACTTAAATTTAAAATTCACTTAGAACTTTTCTCTCTTTAGTGAATGTGTTACTTTTTTGATTATAGGAAACATTGTGTTCTCCTCTTCTGCCCACCCCTTTATGTTAAGAAAACTAAGTTTCATATAGACTAATCATCTCATATCTACCACCAGGATTGTGCCTGCAGCTGCCTCTTTTGATGTCAGTATCTAAGGTGACATCACCCATGACCTTCTCCAGTCCATTGTTTTTCTTAGAGGAGCATTGGATTGGAACTAAGCAAACACAACCAAACATTGAGCTCCTCCATTCAAATGCTGCTATCAGCAACATTTGATTCCCAGCAGTTTACTTAGCTTGGTTCCTCTAGTGGCTATCAGAAACACAGCCACTAGAGGTGTGTTAACCCTGCAATGGAACCATTGCAGTTTCTAAAAAAACTGCAATGTTTTACATTGCAGGGTTACAAGACATCTGCATCCCCTTCATTGAGATATATAGGTCTGGGTGACTTTAGTGTTGATTTAAACAAGCAGTAGAGAATCCTTTCACACAGATTTTTTTTCCTTTGCAAATGCAGACTTCAATGTGGATCAACAAGCCATGACATAATGTCAGATGAAAAAAAGGCAGTTGTAATCAGTCAATACATTGTCATGGTTTGCTGATCCACATTAAAGTCTTAATTTGTGAAGAAAAAAATGGTGTCCTTGGATTCTCTACGGTTTGTTTAAAGTTTTACTATCTCCAGAATCTAGAGCACCAGGTTATTATTATTAGAATTTGGAATGTGTGTAGTCCCTGTTTGATATTTGGAAATATATAGTGTCCCTTTAAGCATTTACAATGCTATATCATCAGTGCATCAGGAGACAGCTTTTATTACAATGGATTTTTCTTTATTATTTTTAGGTGTACCATAACTTGCCTCACTCTTTCTGGGGTCTCCTTATAATATACAAATGATGCAGGAATGCATTTATGTTGATATATGTTATAATTATTTTTGAAAGATTCCACATTATTTCACAAAATTTATGTCTGTAATCTTCCACTGTTTTCACAAGTATTTCCATTGTAAAATCATTTGTTTTTTTTCAATTTTAAATAATTGTTAAAGGTATTTTTTGCATAGGGTCAACAAAGTCTTTTTTTTATATTAGTATATATAACCAATCATAATAGCATACCTCATTATCTACAGTAATATATTGATAACACAGCCATTTGTCATTTGTTTTCGTATAAAAATGTATATTGGGGAGGGCAGGGCCTGACCTTCATGGCGGCTCAACGCGTTCTAAGGGATCTCCTAGCTTAGCCGCCAATTTTACTGTGTTTATTGCTCCTTGTGGCTTCAGTTCTGCAGCTGTTCAAGACTTACTGCAATCTTGCCATGCAGGGTCTCTCTTGAAATGTCTGAAACAAACTTGATCAACCTAATAATCTACGGAGGACGCGGCAAGATCTGGTGCAGATGCTGGACAGGAGAGACGGCTGCTCTCCCTTCTTGCCAGATACTGGACTAATGCCAGGTTCTACTGTTGCCCTGTTCCCCCTCTTTGGACTGGTGGGGTTGATCCCGGTCCACACCTCAAAGGCTCCATCCAACGCCATGCAAGCTCCACAAGGGTTGCCACCAGGCTCATTAATGGCTGATAAATCATGTTCTCTAGCTTCCAGCGACAACAGAGTGGATATCCTCACTAAGCTGGACCACATCTTTGCAAAATTCTGGAGCAGACTGTCCGAACAATTAAAAACCTGCAAGCACCAAAAGCCAACAGGCAATGCGCCTAGGCAAATGTCATCTGGGAGCACAGGAGAGAAAGGGACTTTAACACTCGCAAAAGCCCGACAGAAGCAGCAACGAAAACACTATACCTCCCTGCAGGAGGACCTGCACCAAGGCACTTTTAAGAACTGGGTCCTAAGGGACTGATCCTGGGACTTTACCAAACATTGGGCAAGCTTTTCAGGTCCATATGGGCACCACGTGGCTTACCCCTCTTCCTACAAAAGGCATCGCCTCAGAAACATCAAAATCAGAGCAATGGAATCTGTTTATGGCTCAGTGAGTGTCAGGTGGGGGATTTGGCCCAACACGCAGAATCAAGTCAACTAGAAAAACTTATTACCAGGCATTAGAATGGTCAGACTTAATGTAGAAAGAATATTTAGAAACAAGCCAAAGTCAGGGGAAGAGCAAAGACAAGAAGACAAAGCCAAAGGGTCAGGGATTCCAGAAATAAGGATAATCAGAAAAAGCCAAGATCAAAAACCAGGAATCAGTAAACCAAACGCGCTCTCGGATAACCAAAGAAGTGGAAGCCATGACAGGGCAAGGAAGAAATAAGGAAATGGGCTTATATAGCCCTTCCATTACATTCATTGGTGGACAGGGGTCACCTGACTCCAGAACGTGCGTGTGCGTTCTTTGTGTGGCCGCACATGCACGTCTGCATGACCTCTAACACTGCTGGAGGCAGGGCTATAGCTTGTGCTGCTTTTATGTGGCCGGCGTCCATAGTAATGTTGTGTTCGCTGGGGATGAACAAACCAGCGGATTTGGCTGAGATCCGCCGCAACTTAGGTAAGTCTATTTTATTTTCTAAGTGACCGCACCGATTGGGTACGGTCACGTGGTGTTACGGACAGGGAGCCGTGACAGTGAGAATATGAGTTGCCCTCAGAGGGCAAAGGCTGAAAACACCCTCCACTCACTTTATGCCACAGCAGGGCATTTGCTTTATTTCACCATCTGCTCCTTATTTAATTTTTTGCTTAAAATTTAAAATCTCATAACTGTTTAATGGCTTAAAATGTTTGCATAACTCCGCAAGCTACTAGACCGCCACTGGATTGAAGCAGAGCTTGTTGGGTGGGCAAGCATATGTCTAATTAGCATGTTCTGCCTGTGCAACTTCAGTCTTTATTAGTCCTTGTCAATTAACCGTATTTACACGTTTCTTGTCTCCAGAACTTCATGCCTTTTTACACTTTGTCTATCCTGTTACTTTTGCATGTCATCTACAAACAAAAATTAGTGCAGTAATGTAATGTGACATAATTGAGTACGCTTTATTGCTAATCTATGCTATTGAATCTATGTCATTCCCAGCTTGCACACCTATCTTTGCACTGCATATCAAAATTAAGTTTGCGTCTTTTTTTACGCCAAATCACCCAGCTTCATTTCCAATGTACATAATTCTTGTGATATCGCCAACACACTGTTTGGCATCATAGGAATGATGGAGACCAATCATTGCTGACCTATATAAGCTCTCCTCTTTGTCTTGAACATTGTCTGGTCATGGTTTCCTTTGCGGTTAATCTGAGAGTATGTTTACACATATCTGTTTCTGATTCTTGGTTTTAACTTTGATTTATCTTTGACTATCCTGCTTTCTTTAATCCTTGACCTCGGCTAGTTTACTCATTTGTGCTGTTTTCTCTTGTCTCAGACCTTGGATTGCTGTTGAGAATTCAACCTTATTTATTAGCCTTGAGCACAGCCACTCTAATGTCCAGTAAAATATGTACGTTCATTCTCTCTACTCAATCTACCTTGAAACGACTTAAGTTCTGCGTGTAAGGCCAAGCACTGCCATGACATGTATTAAACAAGAATCCAATGATTACATGAATGTTCCTTGGGATCTCCATTATTTTTTTTCCTTTATTGCTACCTATCATAAACAGAGCCACTCTTACGTGGGTCATAGATGTCCCATTTTCTTTATCCCCTATCAATGCACATGTAAGGAAAGATAAAAAGGGACCTTCTTTGGTTTCCATCTCATTTTTGCAAGTGTACTCTCAGCATTATGTTGTTTATTTAGATGCTGGTTGTTATCAGCATGTGGTAGAGAGGTGCATTATCATTGTAATGCAGTGCTGTGGCAGGTTTATTTTATAAGTTAGGTTAGATGGCACAGGTGCAAAGAATTTTAATAAGGACAGCATTGCAGATAGATATAGGGTAGCATTATCTCCATTTAGTTCAAGCCAATGTACTTTTTAGGTTCCATTCAAATGATGTTCATACTGTTTAGTGCTGGTCACATAAAACAGATGCAAGGATTTGCAAACACTATACATTTTTTAAAGAATTTCATTATTGGCAAATTAACTTTTTCTGCTCTTGCACTCAGTAGAATGTTGCACTGGTAAAGGCATATTAGACAATCTTGTAATTAATCATGTTGGCTCTATCATCACACTGCACTTAACGTAGACCTTATATTGTTAGCATAATATCACTAAGTTTATGGCTATTGCATATTCAGCACATGCAAAGACAATTCTAGGTTTAAATGTTATAAAATGATATGTAAGGCACCAGTCTAAATAGAATGCAAATATTGGAAAAGATAGTTGAGATATTATCTCTAATTATCTAGAACAAGTATAATACAACAGTGCCTAGATGCTATTACAATTCATACTTTTAGCATTGCTTTGTTGCACAATTATTACATTTGATAAAACACCCACACTTTAATTTTTAACTAATATTATTATTTATTTTTTGCATCTCTCAAGCCAAACCAGGCAGTTTCTAAAAGGTTTGTTACTGGAACATTTGTTTTTCAAAGTTTACAGAAAGTACCATGATGAGATATAAATTGTATATTTCAGAAAGAAAGTCAACTTTAAACAATTTCTTACTTGCATGACCACTACAAAACAAATACAAGTAAACATTAATTAAAGACAATTTATGTGATAGGAGAATGCCGACAACTCATCAAGGAGCAATGGAAACACATACAAATGATGGGTATGATAAAATTAAACTCACATGTGAACAGATACACAATTATGAAAAACATTTTAAAGTGAATATTCTGATTGAGGGTTTTAAACAATATGAATGGCAAATGGGAATTGTACAACTCCAAACTATGGATATATTTTCCCTCCCAATATTTTGACGAAAGGAAAATGAACTCTTGTCTATGTCCTTTACTCAGCATTCGGCTACCTCTGGGAAATTAGCTCTGAATAATAAGCAGACGTTTAGCGTCCACATCCTTGTTTGAAAAAAAAAAAGCATCTCTTTGATTTATTGTCTACGGACATAATGTCTTGTTGGAGCATGGGTTTGTTTTGCTGCTCAAATATTTATTAACAATTGCTAAAATGTCAGAAACTATACATATAGTATATGAATACAATGTTTTCACCAACTATTTTTATGTACTAAGTAAATTGTACTATACGTCTGTCTGTCTGCCCAACACACATAGCTTGGGTGATGTATAGTAAAATACAGGATAGTCTGTGTTATGTCTAATGGCCATGGTTCATTGACTCTTTTAAAAATATTGTCAATCAATGTGGTGTGTATTCTTTGTTCCATTGTTTAAATATTGTTAACTAATGTGATGTGTGTATGAAATGGTTACCCAATGGATGTGGTATGATTGACTGCAGCTTAGTAAGGGTTATTTGGGTTGTCTTTAACTGGAGTAAAGTAATGAGACATATCAAAATAATAAGTCATCTTTCCAGGTCACAGGGAAGGGGTGGTAATTTAACCCCTTAAGGATGGACGACGGACCCAGTCCGTCATGCTGGTGAAGCACTTAACGACGGATGATGGACCTGGTTCAGTCGAAGCAATCAAAGGGTTAACACTCCTCTGGTCTGCCTCGGTACTCGGTAATGGCTGCATCTCAAATGTGCCCCTTCGACATCCACATATACCTGGCAAAGGTACATATGGCGGTATTGTAGTATTCAAACGACTTGGCTGAGCACCATATGAAATATTATATACATACTGGGCAAACTCACTTTGTGTCTCAAAAAAGCTGAAAAAAAGCTTATTACCACTACACTTGGTACATGCTAGTGGAAACATGATCCAGCGCTAAGGTTCAAAATATGCCTTATTATTCACACTTAAAAACCTGAACTTGTCATGTCTCTTTTACAGCACTGTAACTTCACAAAATAGTGTCTAGGTCATGCATTGGTCATATTGTTTTACTCAGAAAATGTAACTGAGCATATTTTTTTTTTTTTCTGACAGTGGTATGTGTGAATTGTAAGAAATACTCATGCAACATGTATGTAAAAATGTCATTTGTTTTTCCCTCACCACAAATATTGGCATAAATTGGTAAAAAAAAATGGTAACAAGTTAAGGCACAATATATACCATATAAGATACCCTGGGGTGTCTGCTTTATCAAATGAAAGCCCTTTGTGGGGTTATTTGAACAGTCAAACTGCTATAATACCCAAAAATGAGACATAATCCCGTCAAATCCATCTATGAAAATTCTAATTATAGAAACTGAAATAGCCTTGTCTCTTATATGGCATTATAGATTCACAGAATAGTGCCAAAGGCATACAATGGGGGCATTTTTATACTTAGCAGATGTAGCTGAACACAATATGGGATTCTGTGCAGGAATAGCACACACCAGCTTTACGAAATACACATTACAAATACCTTGTTATATGTGTAAATTACGAAATAGATCAAAAACACAATTTTACTCAAATATTTAGCAGAGATTGGCGATGAAATGTTAAAAGTGTCAAAATAACCTTAGGTAAATAGCCTGTGATATCTACTTTATATAAATATATACTTTTCTGTGGCAATTTTGTTTTCTGTGATGGCTACTAAACCTACAAGACAAACATATCAACTTCTAAAATTGTTTCACATTGAAATTTTATTTTAGTCCTTGTATTTTGTGTCCTGTAACTTTCAAAATAAGCTGAAATCCTACACATATTATGTAGTCTATGAATCAAGACACATAAATGAATTTATTTTGAATTACTTTTTGTAAGCTGGACTTATTATGCACATGCTATTATTGCCAAAACTGTGAAAAATAAAGTTTTTTTGTCCCCCCGCCCCTTTTTTGGAATTTTTGTAAAATTTTATGAGTATATAATATATATAATATG